TTATTGTTAGTAGCTTTAAACTTTATCCCATAAGTTGCGGAAAGTGCTGAATTTAATAAACCAAGTTTCGCTTTATCTGATTTTAAACCTGATTTTTTAACACTACGAGATGCATCTGTATTATCAAAAACTCGAGCCATTTTAGGGACTAAATCTTGGAGATACTTCATAGACTCGTGTGAATCTAGACGGGTTTTAACATCATCCGCTTTGTATCTATTTCTATCGTCGATACCTCTAACAGGTGTGCAAATCTTTATCAAATCCAGACAGATTCGATGTTTTTCAGCTCTAGTAACAGTTGTGAGCCTATCGTTTCTATAATCTTCACGGGTAATTGCCCCAACTGCTGTCTCATTATTAGTGCCTGCATCTCGTAATTTCTGGAGAGCTCTAAACCAGCGCATATGATTATAATTTCCAAATTCCGAGATGAATTCTTCAGTCAAAGACTCAGGTGTTATACCATAGCAATTCACAATATGGTGTCGGTCTAATGCTCGCATTTCTTCTAAAGTTTTCTTTGGTTTATTTTCTAGATGCTCAGCTGTTTCGCGGTTAATAATATTTGCATTTGCAATGTCCGAAATTTCTTCTGCTTTAATAACCGAAGAATAACCCTTTACTGTTTCAGTTAATGGCACGGTATTATCTCCAGGCTTGGGAGATGGCTCTATTACTGAAACTATCATACCCGCCTTTCGGAGAAAATCTACCATTCTCCATCCAAATAGACGTTGAGAGCGGAATTTTTCCAACATATATGCCACCCATAATCGGATAGTCGGGACATCTTTATTTCGAATAACAGTATCTATATTTGGAAATATTCCTCTATTCTGAAGCTCTTGAGGGAGACATCCGCGTTTTGCTTCCGTCAACCATTGAAACAACTCCTCTTCTGTAGTTGGGACTTTAGATGTTCTTTGTTGAATATAACATATATAATCTTTAATGCAACGCATGCGGAATAGCATCTGATTAGTCCCAGCATTTGTTTCTATATAACTATTAAAGAGACAGAATGCACGCTCAAACTTAGGATTAATGCAAGAAACTCCTATCTTTAATGTACTGGTATATGCAACGAGATCAACACTTTTCCATGCCTCCTCCACGTCTCTGAAATCTTGAGTTTTCTCCGTTGGATCGGACTTACCATGATACTCTTTTATACGTAAATTAGGGAACTCCTCTTTAAGACTGCGCACAATACCTTGAATATTTCTTCTTTCATGACAGATAAGTGATGCGCTTTTTCGCTCCTCAAAAGGTAATGATGACATTTGCTTGGCCCAATCCCAGAGCTCTATTAATACAGTTTCTTTATCAGAAGCTAGACGGAATGTTTTACCTTTTTGGGGCTGGTATGTGTTGTGGATAACTGAATATTGCCTATTTGGTCGAAGTCCTTTAATCCATTCAATATTAAGGTCAGTGAGATCATTATCTAGTACAATAACCCTCTCTGCCTGAGTAATTAATTCTGAGAAATTGGCAAGAGATATAGATAAACCACTTAAACGAGTTTGTGTTTGCGCGATAATTGATACAATCTCATCTAACACTAGAATGTAAGAATTTGGACATTTATGCGAAGCATGGTCTAAAGACCTACATTTTTTGTCGCATTTACATTTATTAGTAATGCGATGTAAACTTTCCACCTGGCATACTACCCTTTGATGTTCTCTCAGATTTATAGGTCCATCAATATCACAATATGATTTGAGATTGAGCCTAGTAGTAATAGCATCTGAATATGTGTGACGAGTCGATACTATGAGTAAGCTTGTATTTTCAGGAATATTTAAATTTTCCATAGCATATGTTTTCCCAGTTCCCCAACGCGATCCTATATAAATATCGTTTTCTTTGGATAGAGGTTTCACATATCTTTCTTCATATTTTTCTGATGCGGTAAGGGGTTCATTGCATTTAACCCAAGATGGCATTTTTAGAAAGGCTTTTGGGAATCCTGAGTCTTTTGTTTTGCGAGAGGCGGGTGGTAAGACATTATTTTTATTTTTTTGCTGGATTTTTTCTGCGATAGATGGGTCATTGAAAATTTCCCCTGATTCATTACGGTTTTGCTGGAAGCATTTCACAATGAATGAACCATTACCATATGCACGACCAAACCACCGCTGATCCTTGTCGTGTGTGCGATTACATAGTGGACATTCTATATATGTTTTTCGGCTAAAATATACATACCATTGAGAATTTTTTTCTTCGATATCCCAACCACCAAGATAATCAGGATATTTCTGCAGAACTAGATTTGCATATTTTTTTAACGCATCTTGGCCCACTATTATTTTTTTCTGATTATTTATTT